CTGCCAAACACAATGATGCGAGTGACAGAGCTGTAGGTACAAAGTCAGAAGCCTGGTTCTTCCTCCAGTGCATGCCTCCGGTTTGCCGCGGGCTGCTGTTTGCCTTTGGAAAACCTCCACCCATAATAAAGCTGTATTGATACACACCCTTGCAACCATTTTAAACATGCTTGAAACCATCAGCATGCTGTGCTCAGTTTGGAATTTAACTCAACAGAATCTGGTAAAATTCCATTCTTTGGCCATAACTCTGGCACCCTTTTCCCATGCTGTGGGTGACGAAGAGAGCATGGAAGGGTCAGGACCCCCGTGTCAACCACCCCACTTGTCATTGTTTCCATATTGCCCTCCCAGAAAGCCACTGTGCAGGCTCCTCTGAGCCCTTCCAGGGCAGCCAGGAGAGGAGAGGTGAGGGCAGCGGCAGCAGAGACGCCGGGGGCCGGAAGGTGTGAGTGACAGAAACAGGACGGGGTGCTATTCTAACCTGTAGGTTTTTCTTCCTGACTTTATCTGATATGTTCAAAGTTGTATGTCTCTATACTAAATCTGATAAGAAAATGCAGCGATTTTTTCACCTGGTTTCCTTTTAAATTACAAAGTCCCTGTAAGTATGATCTCCAAAATGATTTGATTTAGTTCCATAAACATTTCTATAGTGTTGGTGCATATGTAATCTAATCAAAGTGCTTTTGGCCCGCCTCAGTGGCACGGTAGTAACACGCTGCCCCATGATGCCCAAGCCATGTGGGGAGGCCATGGGTTCGAGCCTCGAGGTCTCCCTGCACTGTCGAGTGTGCATGCCTGTTCATGGTTGTGACCCTGGCTGGCTGAGGCTGGTCAAGGCATGAAGGCCCTGTCAGGGGTATCTGTCTGTCTGTCTCTGTCTCTCTGTTTCTTTCTCATGTAAGAAATAAACTCTTTTTTAAGTGCTCTTGCATGAAATGCAGGACAGAATTTAAAAAGAGGGAAAGGCAGGTGATCGCACCAGGTGGGGGTGGTCCTGAACTGGGAGGCCACAGCCCTGGAGCACGGGGAGGGGAGTGCAGGGAACATGTGGCTCTGGCCACAGCTGAGCAGGAGGCCCGGGGGAGAAGTGGAGACGGCCTGGTCAGCCAGACGCAAGTCCTGAGCTCTGACCCAACCGCAGTGCCGTTTCCCACCTGCCCATGAGCACGAGCGTGAGGAGGACGTGACTAAGGTGCCAGGGTCCTCATTCTTCTTGCCTGAACTGAGCCGACACCCCCCCCTGCCATGAGATAGCCCTTCAGGCCAGGAGCCAGCACCACACCACTGTGCCAGCCAGGGTATGCAGGCCCTTGGGGCTTCAGCCCTACCTGCCATGCAAACAGGGACAGCACCAGCTTTCCAACTCCTCGCGGCTGCAGGCCAGCCCTGAGCACACGTGACTACGACCACCAGGCTCGGAGTGTGTAGATCAGAGGTGGCTGCCCTCGAAACTCCTAAGTGACGTCAGACCACGGCATCTGAGGTGTGATCCCCATGAGGGCTGGCCTCGGAGCAGGGTTTGCTTCCGGACTCTACTGCTTACGAGGGCGTGGCTTGTTTCCACGTCTGTAAAACAATGCTGTGTCACAGGAGAGCTGAGAAGGCCATGCATGGTCCCTGGTGCCTGGCCCCAGCACAGCACCCGGCCTGCATGGTCTTGGCACCAGCTCCCTCTCAGGCCTAGTCTTGAGTGAGTGTAGGGCTGGGGGCTTCTTTCTGGTGGAGCTGCAGCTAAGCTCAATTTCGAAGGACCAATTAGAAGTCTGCCTAGCAGAGGAGGAGTAAGGGAGGAGTCCAGCAACGGTAATGACCTGGGCCAAGGCCCAAAGTTCCAGGGTAGCTGTGAGTCGTCAGAGAACAGAAGCAGTGCAGAGCGAAGGGAGTGAAGAGGGAGCCAGCACAGGAGACAGGCCGGCGTCCTATCACAAATGCCCTTTCCCCGTGTCTCTGCCTGACACAGGTCCTTCCCTGCAAGGTCAAGTCAACCTTCCCCAGGGAGAATTCCCACCAGTGGAATTCTTGTCTCCCTGCTGGGCGCCAGCTCTCAGTAGATCATGCCATGTGAGCCTGTGCTGCTGGTCCCCACAGCACAGGTTTCAGATACAACTGTCCTGCATCAGGGAAATCAAATAGAAATCGAAGAGAAATCTTTGTGAGATCTGCCCCCGTGAACATGGAGGGCAATCCCAAACAGGAGCTGCAAGACATTTCCGACAACGGTGCAGTCGCTGAGCTTGGCAGGCAGCCTGTGGCTTAGGAGGGGAGCATTCATTCTGGCTGTTTTCCTGAAGATCAGCACACCGCCCTCTGAGCGTGCGACCCACGGCTGGCAACCTGCTGGGGTGCCATGCTTCAGAGAGGGCGGAAAGTGGAGTGGGGTGACCCAACCCAGACCTGGCCACCAGCTTCCACAGCCGAGGTCTTGGGTTCCCAACCTAACTGTTCAGTCCCCCCAGTTAGTTCGTGTGTCATGCGAAATCATTTACATTAAAGCAACATGCACACTAAAAAGTACCTCCAAGTGCAGCTATTTTGCAGAGCTGTTCCTTCTCATCCTTTAGGATGGAGTATTCGGGGCATTCCAGTTCCTCCCCTCTCATGTAGAAAGTGAAATTCATCTACTGTGGCTGGCTAGGAGTGTGAGGGTAAGTTCAAGGATCTTTTTGCATCTCTGCTAAATACAGAGAAGGACCTAATGTTGCCTCTTTAAAAACAGTGAGCTTAATAACACATTGCAAGATTAAAGGGTAGTTAAAAGTTGTACCCCAATGCATGTGCATATAAAGCCATCCACAGATGTCTGATTTGAAAATACAAAAAAAGTTTAAAATCTCACTGTAGTTAACCCTGGTGTATTTTTCAAATTACTTAAATTCATAGTGGATTTGTGCGTCTCATGGATGTGCATATACATGAGAACACTTCAAAAAGAAAGACAGGGAGGTGTAATAGCTGGGGGTGGGACACCACACTTATTAGAGACAGTATAGCAGTGGCCGGGAATAGAGGGTGATACAGGGGGTGGGAGGGAGGGGGCCAGAGAAATGAAATCAATGAAACATTTAATAGACACAAAAATGAAGCTCTGTGTTGATGATAATGCATATTACAGTATCTTCAACCGGACTAGCATGCACTGTACTCATCCTGGGAAAACTACGGTGCGCACTGGAAAGACGTACAGTGATTAAGTGAATTTTAAACATGTAAAACATGAATGATGCCAGAGTTAACTTTGGATGGATACACAGGTTGTAATCGTTTTTTAAAAAAATAGTTCCCACACATTGTTATTCAAGAGACTTCACTGCAGGGACCAGCAGTTAGTGTAATGGCTATGTTGCTGGACTCCCATGTAGTCAACCACGGTTTGAGTCTTGGACCCGACGGCTTGAACTCATGCCAGGCGCGTGTGTGTGCATGCCCAAGATCCCGAGAGGAGAATGGAAGAGAAGAGATTGCGGCATGGCCATCCCCCCTAGGAGGTGATTTCTCAGTTTCTGTCTCTCTGTCTCTCTTTGTCTGTCCGGTGAGCGTACGTGCCCTATTGCAAAAACCTCTCAAAAAAAAGAAAAAAAAAAGAGAGAAAGACTTCACTGCCTTTGGGCTGGATATGTCTTGGTAGGATTTAATTTGTGAAAAAAATAAATAAAAGTATATTTTGGTACCAAAAAAATTGTTTAAATTCATGGATAATTTTTTCATAATATGCCTTTTCCATGAACTTACCGAATCCCCTCCAACACACACACACACACACACACACACACACACATACACAAAATGCACATTTCCGGGAACCAGCAGTTAGCGTAATGGCTATGTCGCTGGATTCCCACATGGTCGACCACGGTTCGCATCCCGAACCCGATAGCTTAGAACTCACGCCAGGTGCGTGTGTGTGCATGCTCAAGATCCCGAGAGGAGAAGGGATTGTGGCATGACCATCACCCCTGGGGGGGGGGTGATTTCTCACTTTCTGTCTCTATGTCTCTCTCTGTCTGTCTGGCGAGCGCACACGCCCTATAGCAAAAACTTCTCAAAAAAAAAAAAATGCACATTTCCGTCAGAATGTCCCAGCTCCCCTAAGAAGCGTCCGTTGTGGTCATTGCTCGGTATCTGTCCAGTCATAGCACAGTTCTCAGGCACACCCAAAACCTGTCCACCTCTGTGTAGGAAACTGTCGGCAGTCTCAGAGGTCACGTCCACGGTTGGGTTCTCTGGTTTGGTTCTGAAGGAGGGTAAGTGCCCGTGTGGAACCGCCAGGCTCCGTGATGCCGCTTCTCCCCGAGCAGCCCTGCCGTGCCCCGCACACTCAGACCACCAGTTGGTGCACAGTGGAGCACTCTCCCTATTACACGGAACGTCATTCACGGCCGTGAAATCTTTCTGGATACGTGCCGTGGTGCTCTCGTCCCACGGGGATCCTAACAGTGTCTATCACAGCGAAGAAAAATAAGTCCGCCCCATTAAAAGTGAATCCCTAATGAAGGCAGGAGCTGTGCTGGGGCCAGGTACCAAGACCTATCCTGCCCAAAGGCAGCGAAGCCTCATGAGTAACAGCCGGTATGAACGTGGACATGCCTTTGAAAGCGGTATCTTTCAGGGTTAAGTGCACTCGGCTGCTACCCGGGGTTTTCATCACTGGGACACCATGCACTGTCATGGTATCTCTGCTCTCAGACCACACCAGGTCACAGCCTGGCCCCTTCATGTACATGAAGCGTGCTCAGTTCCTTTGTCTCCCTAGGGCTCCGTTTGACCATCTGCAAAATGGGAATTATAAAAAGAAAAAACTCACAGAGGTTTCTGTGGGCATTAATCAAATAACACCCATAAATCTATTATTCCTAGCACAACACCTGCCCAGACTAAGCAGCAACAGAGGCCCACAGCAAACACCTTCCAGCCTCTGTGAGGCCTGCCCTGCCCACCAAGAAGCCAGGCCTACAGTGGTCAAGCCCAGCACATTGCCCACCAGCCTGGCTTGGCCTGCTGGCAGAAGACATTGTAAAGCAGAGCTCAAGGGACCTCCAGGCACAGCGGCAGCAGGGCACCTGTTTTCTCATTGCAGCAGGTGCTGAAAAGCTGCAGTAAGGAAGTAGAAAAACCCAAAGCTCAAAGCCCCAGGGCTTGACTTGTTTGGAACAATGCAAGTTGGCCATTCTGGGGACCCTTTTCTGTGGGGTGGCTCCCTCAGGAAAGGGGTGGGACATAGGGACAACTGCAGGGCTCTGCTCCCCCTCCCCTAACTGGCTCCTGAGCTATACCCACTGACCGCATACCCGTAAGCAGGTGCTCCCAGTAGCCGCAATGCCACCTGCCTGGCTGGGCCAGGGAACTCTGGCAGACCAGACGCTCCAGGGTGGGAATCCACCCCAGCTCCTTCAGCTCTGCCAGAAAGACTCTCCCTTGGGCTCTGCTGGCAGAGGCGTTCCTTCTGTGCTCCCGAATTCAGAGTGAAAGCTAATGAGAGGCTGGAGGCCAGTCAGAAAAATAACAACCAGTTTTATTATTAAGGATAAAAGCCAGGCAGAATGAACTGGAAAGTGTGGAGGGAGCCAGCAGACAGAGGCTCAATTCAGTTCGAGTCCTCAGAGGCCACAGGGCCAGCCCAGCCTAGCAACTCGGCCAGCCCAGCGGACTGGGAAGACTGCGTCGGATTTAAACCCTGTTCTAGTTCACAGAGTCCTGGGGAGAGCTGCTGTCTAGGTCTCACATCTAGGAGTTCGAAACGAAAACTGGAAACAAGTGCGGGAATCATGGGAGACAGAGGTTCTGAGCGAGCGTGAGGAATACGGAACCCCAGCAGGGTTGGCCGACAAAGCGGTTCACCTGAGATGCGACCCACAAACTTTAGAAGGGCAGAGGCTGTAGTTTAAGTGGTTCTTTTGGCAAGGGGGTAGACTGAGGGCCTTCAGAGGCAGAACCGATCCCTTCGGCTTCATGTCAGACTAAAATCGATTCCACATCTCTGCCGCTGAAGAAGTGTGGGCAAACATCTAACCAGGAATGGTTTTAATTTATGACTTAGGATGCTGGGAAAGTTATGATGAGCAATTACTTAAATTGTATTAGGCCATTTAATCTTCATTAGGCCCTTCCCCACTTAACCAAAGGTAAATAAGTGAAAAATGCTGTTCATTTTTAATTTTAATCTAAAAGATTATTTTTTGTAAGTAAGCACTCCATCCTAGCCAAACTATTAATTTTGTTTATTTAATCAATCTGTCCATCTCAAACAGAAGGAACATATTTCTGAGTTAAAGTGAATTTTTAGATGGGTTATTGAGAAAATCAATATGCTCTTGCAACTTAATACTTTTAAAGTGCAGTGTGACAACCAGGAGGGGTGGATGGGGGCAATCCCCAATGAGGCCTCACCTGCAAATGGGACACGCCCCCCACACCTGTCACATTCTTTGGCTCGTTGTCTAATTTTCCCAATCTCGCTCTAAAATCATGCACCTTTTAACCTTCGTGCTCCCACGTTTTGAAAATTTCCATTTCACACAGCCCACCCACGGGCGAGCAACTGGACGGAACACTTGCCACGTGTTCTTAAGGATGTTTCAGGAAACACCACTTTTCGGCCAGATGCTCAGCCCAGGGAAATCGTGCAGCAGGGCTTACTGCCATCCCCCTTGCACGGGTTGCCTTCCGGAGACGCCCACCCCGCTCAAGCCCCCGTGCACCATCTTCCGCAGCCAACGGAAAGACTAAGGAACAGTCCACGAGTCCCGGCCATCTGAGGCCCAGCGCTCGCAGCGGTCCGCAGGAGCCAGTCTTTCTCTCCCTAATGCCGGGACCAGAGGAGCAGCGGTTCGGTGCGGGCACTCGGGCCTTCCGAGTTCCGAGACTTGAGCTGCGGACCAGAGCCGAGGTCTGCGGCGCCTCCGCAGCGCGATCGGCTCACCCGCGCGCTCCGCCCGGATTCCCACAGACCAAACGCGCCGAGAGCCTGGGCTTCAGGGTCCCGAGGCTAGGGCCCCACGGCCGCCTGCACCCGACCTGGCGAAGTGGGGGCGACCGGGCAACCCAGAGTGGAATCGCAGAGCGCCGCTAGGCTAGAGCGCTGCGGGCCGGGCAGACAGAGGTGCGGGCCCCTCACCCCGAGCTGGCCGCGCGTCGACTCGGGACAGCAGACCCGCAAACTTTCTTCCGAGGTCGGGCTCAGGCGCCGGGAGAGGGTCGGCAGGAAGGCTCTGTCTAGGGACACAGGGTCAATTCTGGAGAAAAAGGGACAATCACCCCCCGCGCGCTCACAGAGGACCCGAGTGGGTCCCCATTCCGGACACCCCGGCGTGCGCCTCCAGCATTCCACGCACAAGGCGGGGTCCCCCACCCCAGCCGATGCCGGTCGCCTGAGTCCCGGGGTGGAGCGAGCGCAGCGACGCCGCAGCCAGGCTAGCGCGGAGGGTGTGGGAGCCCCGGCCCCCAGCGCGGGCGCAGGGCTGTGCGGCGGCGGGACCTACCAGCGCGGCCAGGATGCGCCGGCTCTTC